TTCCAGTCCCTAACGTTCTGGGATTCTGTGAGATAGAGCTGTAAGAGAATGAAACCTGCACTTACAGCTATTTCCCAAAGATGAGCACCTAAATTAATTACTAATGAAACTGATTCTGGATTTCTCATATTTTCATCACTTTGCACATATTTTAGAGCTATGATTAAATATGTTTATGGTGTTACTGTTCCGTCCAGAACTTCCAGTGACATTTCTCCTGCTATATCTCTTAGCTAAACTAGAAAATTTAGGAAAAACTTCAAAATCTTACTAAAACCACAGTTTTTCTTCTAAGATAATCAAGCCTTCAGAAACCCTTTGGATCTTTGTGAATGACTGAAACAACGGAAATTCTGACTACAAGTGTCAGCATCACTGCCACGTTGAGACAAAGTTCAGCTCCTTTTTTCCCTGATGCTTCTCAAAAAAGCAAACCAAATATCAAGAGTTAACATACAAAGTTCCTAGTTAGCCACGTGTAGACAGCACAGTAATTTTTTCCTTTAAAAAAACCACATCAAAAGCCCCTATTCCCCCACTCTGAGCACAGATATTTTTCAAGATGAGGCACATCCGCGCTGCTGCAGATGCTGTTTTCACAGAGCTCAGATGAGGGAGCTGCGATCTCAGAGATCTGAGGAGCGCGGCTGCCACACACAGAGCAGCTCAGGCACCCTCTGCCTTTTCCACTCTTGCTCCACACAGTCGAGATTATTTTAAAGACTGTTTCAAACTGACACAAATAGCACAGCAGATGAATACTCCCGCATGGACAAGGTCAGAAGCAGACAACGACGGCTGCTCTCACACCTTGGGCTCTACCAAGGCTCAGCCTTCGCAGCCTTACCTGGGGGTGCCGAACAAGCTCTCGCAACGCCGAGACAGCGCCGCTGGGCCTCCAGCACATCTGTAAGCATCCTGGAAATGAAAACAGCACACTGGGACAACCGGCACTCTCAGAGTACGTAGCTGTTTAATTTCACACCCATGTTTGTTATCCTTTTCAGTTGGTAACTTCAGTAGCATATTAGCTTGTTTTTCTGACCCTTCAGATTCAGAGGCCAGAAAGGTTGGTTATTTATAACACTGTCTCTAAAATGACCTTTTCTGGGACAGCGCTTTAATGAAGTTGCTGTAGTTAACAACCGTGACTGCTGAAACACGGCAGCTGTTACGAAGTTTCCGCCCTTGTGCAATTCTCTTGTAACTGTTCACGTTAACGGACACCTCGTTTGTCCGCAATACCTTCTTACAAAATACTTTCAAGAATAATTAACTGTTATCATTAATCGTAAGTATTTAACGCATTGAAATTGGTAGTACTTCTCCCAAAATCCCCCAAAGTATTTTTCCTGCACACTGCAAAGCAGATCAGGCATTTTGCTTTCAAACAGCTACACAGCATTTCCTACAGATTCAGCAAATGTGGCTTCTCCTCCACATCCAGCATCTCTCTACTGCATGCTAAAACAAATAAATACATCAAGTCTTAATTCCTCTTCCATGGTGTCCAACAGTTTTTCATGTGAATAGGCCCACAGTTGTCTAAGGCAGGTAGACAGTCATAAGTTGGACTCAAACAATCATTACTACCTTAGTGTCTTTCCTACCTGTGTGGAAGGAGGAGTGGATTTTGACCTCTCGTGAGCTCTCCCAGCCGCAGGATCCCCAGCCTGTGGGAGGCTTTCGGCTGATGCACACTTCCCAGTGCGGCTCCTGTCTGCTCCGCTGGGAGCTGGGTCGTGCTTTGAAGTGGCTGCAGCAGCAGAGCTGGGATCACGTCCGCTGGTCACGCTCAGTGGGGGAACACACGTCAAAGGGGGAAAAACATCTGGAGATTTTTCTGTAGAGACAACTTGGCAGCAAACCTCTGTGTTCTGCACCTTCCTGCTCCCATTTGGATTGGAAACCCTGCCAGGAGGCCATTTGGGATGTGACAGCCTCTTCAGCAGGGGTGGCTTGTGCAGCGGGAGGGGTTGGGAACTGCCTGGTCTCTGGTTAATCTTTCGCTCCATGTACTCGATAAGCGCGGTATGCTGGATTTGTTTCAGCTCCGTCCTGGAGATGCTTGAACTGGAAAGTGCCCTCCCTCTGTTCTCCAGAGTCTTCCTCCTACCTGCAACTGCATCCTCCTCAGAGATTTCATCCCTGACCTGACTCCATACTTCCTTATCTGCCAGCTGATCCAGTTTCTCAGGTTCAGAATAACACAGTTTCTTTTGCTCCTTTGTTACCCTTTTCCTTCCCCCTATTCGACCTGTTTGTGGCCTCTTAATTTCTTCATCTCTGTGGAAACTTTCCAAGGATTCTAGGTGAGAAGGGGAACAAGGAACAGGTTTGGCATCCTCACTTGCACTGGATAATGAGAAAGACCTAAGGTGTTCAATTGAAGGTCTTTTAGAGGGTTTCTGTCTGAGTCTAACAGGCAAACTCATCTGCAAGTCTTTTCTTTTAAAGGAAGTTTCTCTCAGAACCTTTTTCTGAGCCACTTTGAGTTTCTCTCTGTAGTCATTCTTGGAACTCTCATCTGTGGATGAAGCAGGACTGCCGAGAATGAGATCTTCAGCCTCACGCAGATCATCAGCACTGCACTCATGGTGGTGGTTGGTCCTCTGAAGGCGATTGCTTTGCTTTTGTATCTCCAGACACAGCGCTGAGGCAGAGGAGCTGCTTGCTGGAAATTCCTTTGGTGAGGTCCTTGAGTCCTCTTGGCATTGGGTGAGTTTGTTGTGGTGCAGGATGTTGGTGGGCTTCCCCCCTGAAAGATAGTAAAGCATGGGAGTTGTCTGCCTGGTTATTTGTTCATCAGCAAGGTCATCCCGAAGCTGCCTTAAGAGCTGTTTTGGAAATTCAGGGTGATATTTCTGAACAGGAGGTTCCTCTTCTAGATGCGTGCGCGGGTCAGGACTGCCGTTATTAGCCTGTCTTTCTTTCTTGACTTTGTGTGAAAACTGAGATGTGCAATCTTCCTTCGGTCTGAAAAAAGACACTTGGTTAGTGTTGTCGTAGCACTGCTTACTTCCCTGATCTGACTCCTCACAGCGAGGGTGCTCTGCTTCTGCAGCATCGTAGCTGCAGGACAGTGATGATCTCTGCATTTTGGCTTGCTGATTCAGGAGCGGTTCCCTAACGTCACTCCCAGTTTTTCCTTCAGAGCCATAGCGCTGATTTTCATCTGAACAACTGCTCAGCTTCCTGGAAGCGTTTTTAATGAGAAGAGCATTCTCCATATATTTTAAGTCACAACTGTCCTCAAAGACTTCTTGATCCATGTCTGAATGCAACTCGGCACGGAGCGAGCACTGAGCACAGGGCAAGGATCCTTTTCGGTGGCTGGGTTCTGGCACCTTGCTTTGCAGATCTGCTTCTCTGAAAGTTGGCTGACGTAGACTGCAGGGATGCTGTTTGTCTTCTTGTGTATCATTAACAGCGCTAGGGTTGGTATGCACCGGGTGGTAGCACCTGGAGTTCATCTCTCCAGGAATATTATAAGCATGAACTGAATTATAAGCAGAAAGTATTTTAGGGACATTAGCCACAGAGTCAGTCTTTAAATACTCTTGAAAAATGAATGAAGAAGGTCTGCTGAAAATGTGTGGGTTGCTTCTCTTTCTAGGTTGTTGGGATGGGCTCCACTCTCCATTTTCCTCTGTCTTTAACCCCTGAATTTTTGATACAGATGCTTCATTTGTAGAATCAGAAGAAGAAAGGCCCCTATTTTCCAGAGTCTTTCTCCTAGCAGCCACTACATCTTGCTCAGCAGTTTCATCCTTGTATCGACTCCGTGGCACATCCCTATCTGCTACGTGATTGTCCTGCACGCTGCACTCACCATGACCTCCAGAGCTGCGTCTCCCTCTTGAGTTTTCAAGGTGCTTGGTGACTTTATAGCTATCGAGGCGTGTGGGAGGAGAAGGTGGAGGTGCAGTCGGAGGCAGCGGTCCCTGGTTTAAAGTCCCTCGGGTGGGAGTGCTTCCACAGCGTGCAGCAAGACTGGTGCTGTGGGAGTTGTTATGGGTGCTCGGGTCTGGTGTCCTGTGTGGATGCAGGCATCTGAGGTCAGAGTTTGCTGTGCTGAGATTATAAATTCCTCTGACATACTCTGAGTCCATGTACGGTCCCTGCTCTGGAGGCAAAGAGCAGTTTTCACCATAGCACGATGGGGTGGGATACTCTGGAGCATTTGATCCCCCTGAGAAAGAGCTATAAGCAGAGTCTGCTCTGCCAGGGAGGTGCAAGATATGATCCACACAGATGACTGACTTCACCGGTGAAAGACCATTACCAGGTTCAGGAGAGGCCACAGACTCCACCAGCTCTCCAATTCTGCCACCTTGCCTGTGAGTCCACCTTTCTATCTCATTCCCAGATGAAGCCATGTTGTAGCATTTCCAGAAATCAAAGCATGATTAGATGTCCACAACTGAGCTGTTAGAAAAGCATGTTTTTCTCTGTAGTTGCATTCCAATAATATCTAGAGCACCCTAAAAAGAAAGAGAAGCTTGTGAAAAAGACTCAGTGGGAGGATTCTGACTGCAGTTGGGGAGATCAGGCAGCGAGCATCGCCTGTGTGCTCAAGGTGAGACCTCGAAAATAGTGTTTAGAGTAGCCAGAAGTAAATCTCTGGCTTCAGTAGTTATCAGCATCTTGGAATGATCATTTCCTCTATCACAGAGCAACTAAGTCCTTAATAATAAGATTTCTCTAGATCTTTATTAAATCTAAGACTATACATACAATTAGAAGATGCCCTCTCATTATGATGGCAAAATATAATGGGCCAGAATCAAACTAATTCTGAATCTGCCTTGAAAAAAACTTAGAAGCTGAAAATCCCAGCTCAGACGGTGCCTAATCCTGGAGGTGCTTAAATACAACATGTACCTGGCTACCCGACGTTTCAAAGTGACTTAGGGTTGTGCTTCCCAAAATGCTCACACCCATGGGTTGGTGCCTTGCACTCATTAGGATGGATCTAAACAGCATGGGGGATTGCAACAACGTGACTGCAATGACACTGCACCAAGTGTGCCCCAAACCCCACCAGTGCCTCCACATTTCCTTTCAGAAATATGCATACACGGACAGTCCATTGGACACGTCAGTGCCCCACGGGAAGCTGGATCAAATCAGGAGTGCATAGATTAACCCAGCAGTATTATCAAACAGGAAGAAATCATTATTATAATCAGTCTTATCAGCCTTCTTCCCCCTCTTTAAAGGCTGCCATTGTTCCTCAGAGAAGCAAGAACCAAATCATACTTTATATCAAGAACAAGATGAAATGGTTTATCGTTCCAGTGAGCCTCTATGCCATTTCCATGCATGCTCAAATAAACACATCGTGGAAAACCTTTCCCAAAGGCTTGTAGAAAGTTGCTTGACGGCAGAGTGATAAAGTGTCTCGATGGGAGATTCTGCTGCCAGTAACAAATCATAGGTTTTAAGGTATTTTTTTTTACAACTGATGCTAAGAACTTCCCTGCAAATGTACCAAATGTACCAGAAAGCACCAGCTTAGAGATCATGCACAACAAATACACAATTTTTGTAGAGTTTAGAAAACAGCCTGTGTTTATCAGCAGCACTCAACATTTACTCTCTGATTGCTATACACGATGCACGCAGGTGTAGTGTGACAAATGAGGTGTCTACAAGCAGCCCACTAATAGACCAGCAGAAGACATGCGGGAGGTGGTCACCCTACCAGTGTGACCCCCACAACTACCTCTGTCACCTTCTAACCCCTCTGACACGCTCACAGGTTATGTGAAACTCTAATAAAAGACAACCTTGCAAGCCAGACAGGTACCAGCCAGTGGCCTCATTTAGTAGTTCTCATTTAAATCAGTTCTAAAGACTGATTAGTTATTAAATAAAACAAACACACACTCCTGAAAACCCTTAGTGACAAGCTGCTCCAGTGAGACCCCTTCTGAGGAGATGCAGTTTCCAAATCCTACCAGAATATTACAGGTCTGTTTTCTTCAAAAAGGCTGAACTCTCTAGACCCTTAATCTGCCATTCCCAATCCCACACTTCTGCAGTGGGGCCTCATAAAGCCAGCAGAGAGAGAAGTTTCAGGGGTGATGTTGCTGTTGAACCAAAAAAACCTTCCCACTCCTGCCTTGTTTCAAAGACAGTCCTGGTATCATTCATTTGGAGCCAAAGGAAGAGATGGGAAGGAGCCAAAACACACAAGTTAATCTATAAAGGGAACTTGGACTGGTGGGGCACAGTAAATACATTAACTAGTTTCTGGGAAATGAAAACAGCACAACACCACAGCACAGTGGGAATTTCTGTGGGGCTTTTTTTTGAAGCCATCTTTTTAAGAGTAGTAAGAAACCATTCAGGGACACCTGGAGAAGTTTTCTCTCTTTAGAGATGATCTAAAATGCAGCTGTGAAATTTAATTGTCTGTCTCTGAATAACAGGGTCACATAGGAAGGACAAAGCATCTATGGCTGATGATACCACTCTGCATCCTTTTCACTGTGGCGTACTGAAGAATTTAAAGAAATAAAACCCTTAGATGTCTGGTGAAAGGAAAACCTTGGATTTCCTGAAGCTACAGAGAAAGAAAAGCAGCCGAGAGAATGACTGCGCTGACACTAAATGCAGAAGTTGCCGTCACGTTGCTGTTACGTTATCCCAATGAACAGACCACACCTGAGAGCCTGCACCACTGCAGTGACTGCTGGGTCTGGCTGTGCTGGGTGAGCTCGGTGGTACCTGGAGGTGCTGGGAGGTGCAGGCGATCAAACCCTGCGGGAGCTGCATTCCAGCAGAGAGCCAGGGGGCAGATTCCTCCATCGTTCTTATCTCTTTTTAATCAGTTTTGTCCCAGTGAGAGCTCTCCAAGCAGCTCCATTACTCCGCTGCTATTAATAGACCGAGCCAAGGCTTTGTCTGGGATGTGCTGGCACCGATCCACTGACATTAATAGAGCTACCCTGATTTACAACGGGAATTTGGCTCTAACTTTTCACAGCTATGCATAGAATTTAAAGAACAGTTGCGCTCTGGTTTATCTATATCAGTGAAAGTAAATCTCTTGGTTTCCTACACTGGTGTTTCCCAAGATCTCTATTCCCTGCTATTTCAAAGCTCATGATTTACAGTAAGGCTGGAAACAGAGCGAAGAATTTTTGTCTGAAGTTTTTATGACGATACCAGAAACAGCAGGAAATAAAACTGCAGTATCTCAGAAGACCAAAGTGAGAGCATCTGATGTGGAAAATGCGGCGACAAGCACTGAGTCCCCATTTGTGCCAGGTGCAGGAGGACACTGCAGGCCTGGGCTGTTCCAGCTGAAACCCCCTGCAGCCTCCCCTCCTGCTCCAGGAGGAAGTGCCACATGAGCCAGAGGACCTTCCCTCTGCACTGGGTGCCCTCTTGCCATGCCTCGCATTCTGCACATCTGTTTTGCTTAAAACCAACTTCGTAATTTCACATCCTTGAAGTGACTGAAATACTAGAACTGAAGTAATAAAATGTTCTCCGCAAGCTTCTGCTAAGATTTAAACACCACGAACTGAAACACACCTTAGGGAAAACATGTTGTATTTCTTTTGGGGAAGATGTTTCCTAAACCCTGGAAGCAGAATCATTGACCTCAATGTGTTTAAAGAACAATGTGAAAACTGCCTTCTCTTTCATATGGAAAAGAAGAATATTAACACACTTAAAACTCAGCTGACGTTAACAGTGATGTTATTGTTCTCCTCAGCTGGTAGGTGGTGGAGCACCCTCATGGTCTACATTGACTCTGGGTCTTAGAAATGCCCTGGCAAGGCTGCAATACAGCGTGCACATTCCAGACAGGCTCACAATATTTGTACTGTAAAGCTCTGTAAGCAAAAAGAAAAACATTAGATTAAAAGTGTATCAGAACCACGAACACCAGGAGATGAAGGGAAACGTATCAACAGTGCGTCACTCCATGCCCAGGGAAGATATAAAGCCACTAACAACCTATTAAGATCCAAAGGTTATTTGGGGGGGGGGAATTTCTTAGGTTTTTGTTGCTGTTGTTGAAGTTTTTTGGAGTGTGGTTTTTTTGTTTGTTTTTTTTAAAGAAAAGTTTAACTTGACTTCCACCCACTGATTTATATTTACCCCAGTACTACCTAGGAAACCCGAGACAGGGCACAGCCCTCTATGCAAAGCAGTTTGCAAATACAAAGCACACACTCTCTGCTTTATAGATCTGACAACCCAGACTGATGAGATGGACAAAAGCACGGAAGAGAAACGGGGTCTCTGTTGGGAACAGGACTTGTCTAACACTTCCCAGCAGGTTGATGGCCGAGGAAGTGACACAGGGTGTTGTGTACACGAGGCTGGGCTGTCTCTGGGCTAAGATAATGATGCCTTGCATTGCAAAACAAGATTTGTTCCAATTTTCCACCACAATAATAACAGAAAAAAAATAGTAGTGGCAAGGCAGTGCCAGGGAATTCACACTGGTATGGCCCTGCTGTACGTTTTCTCAGCTCAGGTACCAGTGCTCGCAGTAAAAGTTCTTCACCCAAACATTTACTAGACTCAGTCCCTTAGTGTTCAGTGCAGGTTTGAGTGCTGCTGAAGTCTCCAGTCCCTCACAGGCTGCTGTTAAAATACCCGTCACCACCTCAACCTCTTAATTCCAAGGAATGGTGGTTTGTATTGCACAACCCTGAATTCCTTGCAACCAACTTAGTAGGTCAAAGCCTCAAGTCTCCAGCAAATTAACTCTGTACAGAGGGAAACCAGTGACTTAAGATTGCAGCCAGTTAACAAGTTACCTGTCTTTGAAGGGCAAGCTTCCTTCTACTTACAGTTTGTTCTTGTTTGACCTTATTTAGATTGTATTAGGTGCTGCTAATTAATCCATAACTCACCTGCAGTTACATACACAATGCTGGCCCCAAAGCATCACCCATCTGAAACGCAGGTATTTTCTTTATCAGGCCTCTGACTTATCCTCAACAGCCCCTGGCACTGAACACGGCCACACAGTACATTCACATACCTGTGCAGTTCCCTTAATGTTTCCCAACACAATCTTTCCATCAGAGAAGCAAGAACGAGCATTTTCCTTGATAAACACAAGCAGAGTTCAAACCTTCTTTTGAGACTGGGCTATTGGTGTTTATAGGTGAGGAACACGCTGGCGTGTGGAAAACTTCACAGATCTATTTCTGGAAAACTGCCCTTTTGAAACAAATGGCTCCATGGAAATAAAGGGGGAAAACACAGCTATTAATCCATATCGAACTACAATGTGCAACTGTTCTCCCAGCAACCAGAACGATCAGTGTGTGAAATGCAAAGCAAACAGCGTGACCAACCTACCAACAATATGTCATGTTCATGCTTGTGAATGACCTGCTTC